GAAGAAGCCAGCAGACCCAGATCAGAATTTAGATTTTCAGGATGAGGAAAGAAAAAGAAAGGGGAAGGAAAAGATTGGAGAAGAGACTAAGGTATCAAAGCCACAAGTTCAATGCCTAAGGCTGTTTTTTCAGGTGGACAGTGGAAGGCGTTGAATACACAGCAATCCAAGGAAACAAATAAAGAGATGGGTTTGGAACCCATTAATCTGGGTACCAAAAATAAGGAAACTGGACAGCAGCATGTTATCATGGATGACCGTCACAGCAGCGAAAAGGAGTAAATCCTATTGCAGGGGTTGATGCAGTGTTGCAGATGAATCAGTCTGAACCAAATGTAGTACAGGATTTGACCAAGCAACAAGTTCATCAAGGTGAGGAATTGCGGTCGGTCGCAGACGTTGGTGTAGTGATTCAGAAGGATCAAAACACAACTGCTCAGGAACAGAATTTATTTCAAGCACATGGAGAGCATGAGTTGCAAGATTTGGATAATTTAAATGCCACCAAAACAGTCTCTAACGAGATTTCATCACCATCAGATTTGATGCAGAATATTTCTCAAGTCCAAACTTCTTATGGAATGCAAGATAAGATTAATCATTCGAAGGTAATCAGCCCAACTGTTAATGAGATTTGCTCTATGTCAGAGGTACAAATTTGTAATGAAAAGCACAGTTCACCACTTCTCTGTCAACTAAATAGGCAGTCATCTACTTCTCTGTTGGACTCTTCCTTTTTAATTGACCGTAATTATGAGAAAAGAAATGCAGATGGATTATCTATGGATGATGAGAGGGGTTTGCTGAGAAATCCAGATCCTCCAGATAGGGGTTTTGATTCAGAAAATGATATACCCAATAGTGCAGATAGCCTTGAGATTTTTTCTCCCAGTTCCCAAGTTGAATTTCGTTCAGACGGTATTCATTCAGAGGATGCAAATCCTCCTGGTGTGGTTACTAGATCTAAATCTAGGGGTTTGGCCTTCACTTCATCTTCTCAATGATTAATTTTCTCTTGTGGAATATTCGAGGTGCTAGAAAGGATGCTTCAAGGAGGCGCCTCAAGAAACTCATTAGATCCAAGGATATTTGTCTAGTCTCTATCCTAGAACCTAAGCAAGACCCGTTGCGGTTGCCAGGTTTATCCTCGATTTTGAATATGAATTCTTTTATGGCTAACCCATTAGCAGAGAAGAATATATGGCTGCTTTGGGATCATAGACTGGATGTTAAAGTTATGGATGTTTATGAACAATCTTTGACGGTTCAAGTAACTTCTTCAAATTCAGTTTCTTTTGTTCTAACTCTAGTATATGCATATTGTGATCACTTGTTGAGAAGGCCACTTTGGGAGCATTTAATACAGCTAAACATCACTGCACAGCCATGGATGATTATAGGGGATTTTAATGCTATTCTTACTTCAGCAGAACGTATGGGAGGAGCTGTGCCAGGTTTTCCATCGATGGATGATTTTAATGGGTTCATGAATTCTGCTGGCCTGTTAGACTGTGGATTTAATGGCAATAGCTTCACATGGTGTAATAACCATCAAGATAGAACAAGGATGTGGCAGAGACTGGATCGAGCTTTCATTAATACAGAATGGAATCTTGCGTTTGAAGGTACGGAGGTAAATCATCTTGCTAGAGCTAAATCAGATCACTGTCCTTTGCATGTTAAGATAATTGAATGTACGCAGCAGCCCAGAATTTCTTATTTTAAGTTTTTGGATATGTGGGTGGAGCATCCTTCATTTTTGCATTTAGTTAAGCAGAAATGGTGTGGGCATTTCTCAGACAACCCAATCCAGAATTTATTCTTAAGGCTTAAGAATATGGAGGCTCATCTAAGGTGGTGGAATAAGAATTTTTTTGGAAACATCTTTGAAAGAATAAAGTTTCAAGAAGAGAAGCTATTGGAAGCTGAAATGGATATGGATCATGACCCATCTGAGCATAATTGTCAAGTTCATGAGCAGCTGGAGAATACTTTAAGATTAGAAGAATTGTATTGGAAGCAAAAAGCAAACATAAAATGGGCATTGGAGGGTGAGAGAAATACAAAACTTTATCATGCGGTGGCTAAGGGGAAATCAGTCAGAAATAAGCTTAGTAAAATTAAGAATGATGATGGTGTTTGGTTGGAGGATGAGCAACAGATGGCTCTTTGTGCTGAACAGTGTTTCTCCAAGCTATATAAGTCAGAGTCTCATGCTCTTGATGAGGAATTATTTTCTGTAATACCATCCTTGGTTACTGATGAAGATAATGCTATGCTTACTGCTCAGGCAACTATGGAGGAAGTTCATGATGCTGTCTTTGCTATGCCAGTGGAGAGTGCACCTGGAGTTGATGGCTTCTCTGGGAAATTTTTCCAATCCTCATGGGAAATTGTCAAAGATGATATTCTACTTGCTGTGAATTTTTTCTTGGAGGGAGGAATTATTCCAAGGTCAGTAAATGTTACTTTGCTGTCTCTTAGGTAATGTGATTCTGAAGCTTGATATGATGAAGGCCTTTGACAGGTTAGAATGAGATTTTTTAAAGAGGACATTGTCTGCATTTGGTATTTCTTGAGTTAACGTTTCAATTATTTCTAACTGTCTACAAAATCAATATGCTACATTGGTTGTGACTGGCAAAAGATATAGTTTTTTCAATACAACAATGGGCATGAGGCAAGGGGATCCATTGTCCCCAATCTCTTTATTTTAGCAGAGGAAGTCATGAGTAGAGGATTACGAGATATGTATCAGAGAGGGTTGGTCAAACATTTTCATACAGGAGAGGAACTGTATTATTAAGTCATTTATTGTTTGCTGATGACACCTTGGTTTTCTTGAGAGGTGATAAGTGTTCCATGGTTAATTTGTTTTCATTTATTTCAAGATATGAGGCTGCCGCTGGGCAAAAGGTGAATTTGTTTAAAAGTGCTATGTATTGCTCATCTAACATATCTCATGCAAGAAGAGGAGTGTTGAACCGAGCTGCTCAAATTCCCATTCAAAAATGTCCTTTTACATATTTAGGGTGTCCAGTTATAAAGGGCAGGCCAAAGTTGATTTATTATGAGGATTTGTTGCAGAAGTTTAGATCAAGACTGGAAGGGTTGTACTGGTTCAATCTGTTCTCAGTGCAATACCTGTGTATCTATTAGCTTGTATGAATTTACCAAAGGGCATTATTGTTCGAATGAATTCTATTATGGCATCTTTTATTTGGTCTAGCAAAGCAGCAGTAAGGAAGAGACGTTGGTGTTCATGGGCTAAGCTAACTGTTCAAAAGGAGGAGGGAGGTCTTGGATTGAGGAAGTTTTAGGATGTTTGTCATGCGCTTCGTATGAAGCAAGTTTGGAATTTGCTGAATGGATCATCTTTATGGTCTAGGATTTTTTCTGTTAAATATCTTCGTCAGCAGCATATGTTAAGAAGTTTAAAACATTCCTATTCAAGGAGCTATAGGAATCTATTGCCACGGTTTGAGGAAGTGGTCACAAATACGCAAATAGGCAAATGATAGTGGGGAATGGTGCTAAAGTTGATTTTTGGTGACAAGAGATATATGTGAGTGAAAAAGGGATACAAACTAAGTGTAGAGCCCCGTATATATAGCCAATGAAAATTACAATAAGGATAAAAAAGTAAAAAGAGAAAACTTAATAAGCCCTAATAAACTAGGCTGTTGCTATATCTTCAACACTCCCCCTCAAGATAGGCACAAAAATGTCAACTAAGCCAAGCTTGACAACCGAGTTTCGAAGAATGGATAAAGTGACAGGTTTGGTAAAAACATCTGCAACCTGATCACTGGTCCTCACAAACGATGGAGTGACAATACCACTGTTAACCTTCTCTCAAAGAAAGTGAACATCGATCTCTATATGCTTCGTCCTCTCGTATAATACTGAGTCAGAAGCAAGCTGAATAGCAGATCGATTATCACAATATAATGTAGATGAAGAAGTCACTGAAAATTTCAACTCACCAAAAATCGATCGTAGTCAGATAATTTCACATGTGCCAAGTGCTAGTGCCCGATACTCCGCCTCTGCTGATGAGCGAGAGACAACTGACTACTTCTTGCTCTTCCAAGAGATAAGATGAGTCTCTCAAAAAGCATAGAAGCCTATAGTAGATCGACCGTCACATGCTCTCCTATAATCTGAATCTGAATAACAGGCTAGAGAACCAGTCTGAGATCCTGATGCATAGAACAATCCAAGTCCAGAACAAGATTTAAGGTACCGAAGAATATGATAAACTGCATCAAGATGAGGCTAACATGGTCTGTGCATGAATTGACTAACTTGGCTGACAGCGAATGAAATGTCTGGCCTATTGTTGGCTAGGTAGATAAGTCTACCTACCAACCTCTGATAGACAGACGGATCTTTCAACTCCTCACCTTCAGCAGTAAACTTCAGGTTTGAAATCATGGATGATGATGCCGGTTTGCACCCTAACATCCCAGTGTCTAAGAGAAGATTCAGAACATACTTTCTCTGAGAAAGAATAATACCTCTGCTGCTACGGGCAACCTCAATTCCAAGAAAGTATAGCAAAAATCCAAAGTCCTTCACATAGAAGGCCTTCCCAAGGTCTACCTTGACCTGCACACAAGGATTGAAATTTCGTTTCGAAGTACCGTTTCGGTCAGCTCAAAAATGAAAATATTTCGGAAACGCAATAGAAACGTAGAAAAAATATGAAAACGCATAGAAACACAAATACAATCTATTAATTTATAAAGATATACTAAATAATTGATTAATTCAACATATTTATTGGGTTAACATCCATTTATACAAGAATATTTGAGGAAAAAAAAGGTTTGACATGAGGCGAAAGTCACTTAAATTAGTTTTAAACACTTAATTTTTATGAAATAAACACATTTTTACATAATATTAAGGTCTTATAATACATATGAAATGATAATGAGTACATACTTACATGGCTACATCCATCTCCCTGTGGAGTGTCGAGCAGGCTCATACATCGGTGTAGGCTCTGGGTAGCTACTTAGAGAAACTTCATATGTGACATAAATATGATGACAATAGTTACTCCAACTCATATTAGTACGGTAATATTATCCAATTAATAATACTATTTTATTATAATACTAATAATGAAGGGTATCAAATTAAATTAATGGTACTTATGTATACTTAAAAATTAAATGTAATTGCAATGTGTATTACTTGTAATTACAGCGGGTATTAAATATAATTATATTAGGGTATTAAATGTAATTGTTAATACTTATAACAAAAAAAATAAAAAAAACTTGCACATCAGTGGGGTATTAAATATAATTACAGTAGGTATTAAATATAATTACAGTAGGATATTAAGTGTAATTATTTATTCTTATAACAAAAAAATTATAAAAGACAGAAGAGCAGTGAGAATTAAATGTAATTATAGTGGGGTTTTAAATATAATTATAGTGGGTATTAAATGTAATTACAGTGGGATATTAAATATAATTATTCATAGTGAATCGAATATATCATTGTTTCGTCGAAACGGTACTGTTTCGATCAAAACGGTCCGAAACAGTGTCGTTTCGACCGAAACAGTACCGTTTCGACCGAAACACTGAAATTTTGTGATTCAACTACTGTTTTGTTTCGGAGTGTTGAAATTCCGAAACATTTCGGACGTGTCGACACGACATTTTGATCCTTGCCTGCGCAGTCCCAGAAACATCATCTCTAGTAATAATAATATCATTAACATATACCAAAAGGATGACACACTATCCAGAAGTACTCCGTCGATTGAAGCAGGTATGATCAGAATGACATCTGGTGAACCCTAAACGTACAACTACATCACTAAAGCGAGAGAACTAGGCTCATGGTGACTGTTTCAGTCCATAAAGAGACTTACGCAGTCAACATACCTTTCCAGCATACTTCCCCTCACCACGAAAGCCCGGTGGTGCATCCATATAAATAATCTCATTCAGTTCACTGTGAAGAAATGCATTCTTCACATCTAACTGATGAAGAGGCCAAAAGTACTCCGCAGCCAGAGAAATAATCAGTTGAACTGTAGCGATAGATAAAAAAGGTCCAGAAAGCTCCCAAATAATTAAGTTACGGTGCCCAGAAATTCAGTAAATATAAATAAATGATCTACTGTATCAAGAGCAGATTAACGGAGAAGAGGATTCAATCCCTCTTAAAAAACTCTAGATGCTGCAACCCAGGAAAACAAAGACAGTGGCGTGCAGAGATAGCGACACTACGACGAAGAGCGGGAAGCACGAAGGCAGGACAACTGGGTTGGGTTATGGATAGTGGGTTGGTGGGTTTTGGTGGGCTGGGTTTATTGGGTATTGTTTGCTGGTTTGGTTTGAGGATGGGCAGTGGGCTGGGTTTGGATTTAATATGTATGGGTTCGGTCTGAGTATCGGGCAGTGGGTTGGGTATCGGTTTAATATGTCGGTGTGGTTTGGTTTAATATGTCGGTGTGGTATATGTTGTTTCGGCAGTGTATTGGGTATATTGATGCAGGTATATTGTTGTTTCAGTGTGGTATATTGATGCAGGTAGTGTATTGGGTCTGGTGAGGAGTTGATGTCTGGCTGTTCGGTGTTCGGTGATTGAGTGGTTTCGCTGGGTAGTCGGTGTCGGGGATTGAGACGACTTCGCTGGTTTGGGTTTGGGCAGTCGATGATTGTTTGAGTGGTGGCTGTTTGGTGTGGTTGCTGGGTGGACGGAGTGGGATGCTTGCTGGCTGTCGGTGCTACTGGACAGTGTGGTGATTGATGGCTGGTTACTGTTGCAATGTGAAGGAGGAGCAGCGGCTGGGTCTGTTTGGTTATGATGATTGGCGGAGGTTAGGGTTAGGGTTAGTGGCTCTGATACCAACAAGAGATATATGTGAGTGAAAAAGGAATACAAACTAAGTGTAGAGTCCCGTATATATAGCCAATGAGGAGTTAATTTCTGAAATTTCCTCATTGCAAATCACATATTATGATAGGCAGGATCGATTGATATGGGCTCCGTCTTCAACGGGCTAATTCACAGTTCAGTCTGCTTGGTCGATTATTAGACATCGAGAGCAAAAAAATGATATGGCTGCACTCATATGGAAGCAACGTACTGTTCCTTCAGCTCAACTCATTACTTGGAAAATCTTCAAACATGCTCTCCCTATGGATTCCAATTTTGTGTCCGTTGGTATTGCGATGGCAAGTAGGTGTTCGCTATGTATGATGCAGTTGGAGTCTGAGGAACATCTTTTTATTCACTGTCAATATGCCCAGGCTGTGTGGGCAGCTATTTCTTCTGCTATGGGTTTCACATTGGTAGCTGGTGAAGGTCCATTAATGAGGTTTAGAAGATTAGCAAGAATTTATAAAAAGCAGTCACTGTGTCATGGATTAATTAGAGGGGTTCCTTTAATTATTTATTGGCAACTCTGGGCTGAAAGGTGCAGGCGAAATTTTGAAGGGGTTAATATTCATTCTGCTGCTTTGGTATTTAAAATTATGTGGATTGTATCCTACCAAGTCTATGCCATAAGACCTAAAGTTGCAGATTCAATGCAAGGACAAATTCTGTTGTCCTCTATTAATGTTAATCTTTCTCCGATTAAGGCAAGAGCTGAATGGGTGTCTTGGTCTTCTCCGAAAGATGGTACTTTGAAGCTTAATGTCGATGGATCAGCCAAGGGAGCCCAGGTTGGTCTGGTGGTGGAGCTGTATTAAGGAATCAATGGGGCCAATTGATTATTGCAACATCCAAATTTTATGGAATGGGAACTAATATGGAAGCTGAAATTAGAGCATTATTAGATGGATTAAAACTTTTTCATCAGTTTGGGTTGTTGGAATATCAGGTGTTGATTGAGACAGATTCTAAAATGGTAGTTGATATGGTAAGGGGGCTCGGTGAGTGTTATTGGAGGTATTTGACATTATTTTATCAATTGGAGCAGCTTCTTAGCAATTTGAATTTCGAAATTCAGCATGTCTATTGGGAGGCAAATTCAGTTACTGATTTTCTAGCTAATAAAGGAGTTCAAGATCGTCTGGACATGGAGATAACTTCTGCAGATTCGTTGCCATCTGAAGCAAGGTTTATACTTCAGCAAGATCAAAGGCATTATCGATTTTTAAGGAGGAAAAATTTTAAGTGTTAGATCAGATGAGATGCCTCCTCAACAGTGCTTGTTTGACTGTTCATGAAACTACTTCAGCAGGATTATGTTGCTTTGATTGGAGTGGGCTGCTTCGACTGCCATTTCTTAGTTTTAGATTGGAGTGGGCTACTCTGTATTTTAAGCGGCAACTGGAATGTTTATGTTGCGGCAGGTATACTCTTCCAGCTGGTTTGCGTCTTCATCAGCTGGACTCTTCCAGCTGGACTGTCAGGAAGCATTTTGGCCCACAAATACACTGCAGCAGCTAAGTAAACAGGCCAATTCAGCTGTGGAATTCCAGCTGTCTTTGGGTGGTCTGAAATGCACTGTTCACGTCACTATTCACGTGACTGTTCATGTGCATTTTCAGCTGATCTCTTTCTCCTTCAGCTGGACTGGAGTGTCACTGGAATGTTCTATTGCAGCTGGTTTGGGGCAGCATTTAATGTTCACGTGAACGGTTAATGCTGGTTTTTGTTCTACTTTCAGCTGGATTTTTTGGCAGAGATTAATTTCAGCTGGACTCTTCACAGCTGCATTTCTTTTTGCTAGGACTCTATCATCAAAGTCAGAAGCTGGATTTTTTCTTGCTAAGGGAGTCGGTTCATCTGGATTGCTCTTAGCTGCATTTTGTTTTACAAGGACTCTATCCCAGCTGGACTCTTTACTCAGATGGTCTCTTTTGCTTTATCAGCATGTTATTTAATTTTGCTGGACTTACGGGGTTATCATTATCTTATCTGGCTTTTAAATTAGCAAACGGATTACTATATCAGTGGGCTGTTTTACCTGGACTTTGCTTCAACGACTAAAGACTCCAATTCAGCTGAGTTGCTTGGATAGTTATAAGTTGCTGGTTACCTAAATCAGCAGGACACTATTAATTTCAAAGGCAGCAAGCTAAGGATAATTTCATTTAATTACTAATTGTATTAAGCATGCATTTTTCCTTTCTTTTTTATTATTATTACATCATGTAACTAGAATGTATCGAGGGGTAAGGTACATACGTCCCCCCCTAGCTAGGTGTAATTTTATTTTGAATCAATAAATCTCTCTCGTACCGTTGAGGTTCACCAAAAAAAAAAAAGGGTTTAGGGTTTAGGGTTTAGGATTTTTTTTTTCCTAACTTCTCTCTAGAATTTCTTCGTCATGAGTATTAACCAACCTTATCTAGAGCAACCAAAACCACCTGATCCACAAAATAAACCAAAAACATATGCATCAATCGTTCAACAACCACATATTACATCTTTTTTCAAGCCAATAGCAGATCAAAATCCCAAATAAACAAATGATTAAAAGCCAAAAAAGCAAAAAAAAGCAGTTTTTGATAAAGGTCAACACATAGTTTTCTGGTCCAAGGAGGAGATGATTGATCTTGAGAAGCCTTTTCAGCAATCTTTGATTGCAAAATGTACCTATGGAAGACCATCACTTGCTGTTATCAGAGAATTCATCAGCACCAAGTGGAGTATAAAGGGGGAGTTCTTTGTTGGACATCTGGATGCGAGGCATATAGTCATGAGATTCTCACTCTTTGAAGATTATGTGAAGATTTGGCTCAAAGATGTTACGTACATTGAAGGCCATATGTTTCGATTCTTTAAGTGGGTACCTGATTTTGTTCCTGGTATTGAGCCTTCTGTGGTGTCAATGTGGGTATCTTTGCCTTCATTGCCCATGTGCTTATTTACTAATGATTGTATTGATGCAATTTTGAGCCCACTGGGAAGAATATTGGCCTTTGATAGGCCTACGATGAATCTTACAAGACCTGCAGTTGCAAGAGCATGTGTGGAGATGGATGTAATGGAGGATAATCCACAAAGAATATGGCTGGAAATGGGTGGTTATAAGGGAAGATGGCAGAAAGTCATTTATGAAAAGGAGGTGAAGTATTGTTCGAATTGTTTTAAGCAAGGTCATATGGATTATGAATGCAGAAAGAAGAAGCCCGAGAAGCAAGAACGTGATCCAGCTGTTCAGGAAGAAGAGAGATTGAGAAAAGGCAAGGCTAATATTGGGGAGGATGTAGAGAAGCTGCCCAGGCAATAGTTACACACCAAAAATAAGGCAGGACCGTCAAAGAATAAACCTTCTACTTCCGAAGGATTTTGGAAAATTTTGGAGCATTCAAATGTGCCTAAAAATCATGCCGAGATGTAAAATGTGATTCAGCACAATTTTAATCAGGAGAAAGATTTGAGATCTCATGAGAGAATATCTGAGGATGATTTAAGGGAGCAGCGAAGTGTAGATTTGAATCAAAAACAAACGTCACAATTACTGGCTTCTACTGAACAGGTTCCATCGCAATTACCAGCTACTGCTGGTGTACATGTTTCTGAAGATGTTTCATCGATACAGCGTGGAGAAAGTTCGCAGCAGCGCCTTGTTTCACAGGAAAGAGATGATCCGCAGACAGTTATTTGCTTCTCCAAAAAATCATGCAGTGGAGAATTTGAATGTTACTCCATCGTTACGGCAAGGTAGAAGTTCACAGCACCGAAATATACAGCGGAAAAGGGAGGCACTACAGCGAAAGAATGGTTTAAATCCTTCTTTGCGGTCTGCTATAGCTTCTCCGGCAAATCATGTAGTGCAGAATTTGGTGCAGGAGCTGTCTCAGACTGGGTATGAAATGCAGATGTTGAATGTTGATAATTCTGTCACAGTGAGTGTTTGTCCTTCACTGCCAGTTCAGGAGGATAATGTTCAGTTTAATACGCCTTTAAAGTGTCTATTGAATAGGCAGTCATCACCATCTTCTTTGGACTCTACTTTTTGGACTGATCATAATTATGTTAAACAACCCTCTGCTGGTATATCATTGGATGATGACCAAGGTTTGTTAAAACTTTCAGATTCTCAGAGCAGGGGTTATGATTCGGAGAATGATTTAACAAAGAGTTCAGGATCTTTGGGCGGTTATTCGCCAAATTCTGATATTGAGGTTCACTCCGTGGTTAATCGTCCAGAGGAGCTAATTCCTTCGGGTGTTATTACTAGATCTAAATCTAGGGGTTTTACTTCTCCTCACCCTTTACATGATTTATTTCTTATCCTGGAACATTAGAGGTGCTGCAAAGGATGTTACGAGAAGGCGCCTCAAGAAGCTTATTAGATTGAAGGATGTTTGTTTAGTTTCTATCTTGGAGTCTAAGCAGAATCCTTTGAAGTTGCCAGGTTTATCTTCTACTCTTAATAGGCATTCTTTCATCGCTAATCCATCTGCTGATAAGAATATGTGGTTGCTTTGGGATCAAAGGTTAAATGTCCAGGTTTTGGATGTTTATGCTCAATCATTGACTGTTCAAGTGTCTTAGTTGGGTTCTGCTCCATTTATTTTGACTTTAGTTTATGCATGCTGTGATCATCTGCTAAGAAGACCACTTTGGGATCATCTTTTAGCTTTGAATTTTTTGTCTATGCCTTGGATGCTCATGGGGGACTTCAATGCTATTCTTTCTTCGAAAGAACGAATGGGAGGGGCTGTCCCTAGTTTTATATCGATGGATGATTTTAATGTGTTTGTGCATTCAGCTGGGGTGATGGATTGTGGTTTTAATGGTTCTAGCTACACATGGTGTAATAACCATCATGATTGGACTAGAATGTGGCAGCGGCTTGATCGTGCTTTTATCAATTCAGAATGGAACTTAGCTTTTGATAGTAGGGAGGTGTATCAACTTGCAAGAGGTAAATCAGATCATTGTCCTCTCCATATTACGGTTGCAGAGAGAAATGTCCAGCCTAGGATTTCTTACTTTAAGTTTATGGATATGTTGGTTGAACATCCTTCTTTTTTGCAATTAATTAAACATAAATGGTGGGGAGATTTTTCGGATAATCCGTTACAGAATGTATTTATAAAGCTGAAGAATATGAAGGCGCACTTGCGATGGTGGAATAAGAATGTCTTTGGAAACATCTTTGAGAGAATTAAAATTCAGGAGGAGAGATTAATGGAGGCGGAGAAGGAAATGGATCTCTTTCCTTCAGTAAGTAATCAATCACTTCTCGATCAAGCACAACATGAGCTGCAAGATACTTTGAGATTGGAGGAATTGTATTGGAAACAAAAGGCGAATATGAGATGGGCGCTAGAGGGGGAGAGGAACACTAAATTCTATCATGCTGTTGCTAAGGGAAAGTCAGTTCGAAATAAGCTGAAGAGGATCAAAAATGATGATGGTGTTTGGTTAGAAGATGAACTACAGATGGCTGCTTGTGCTGAGCAATTTTCTCTAAGCTCTATACATCAGAGTCACATACTCTGGATGAGGGGCTGTTTTCTGTTATTCCTTCACTAGTGTCAGAAGATCAGAATGCTATGTTAACTGCGCAGGCTACAATGATGGAAGTGCATGATGCTGTCTTTGCAATGCCAGTTGAGAGTATGCCTGGGGCAGATGGTTTCTCTGGAAAATTTTTCCAGGCTTCATGGGAAATCATTAAAGAAGATATTTTGCTTGCTGTAAATTTTTTCTTGAAAGGGGGAGTGGTGCCCAGGTCAGTGAATACCACTTTATTGTCTCTCATTCCTAAGACAAAAAATCCAGTGTATTTTTCAGAATATAGGCCAATTAGCTTGTGTAACTTTTTGTATAAGATATTTACAAAAATTTTGGCCGCAAGATTAAGTGTTGTCTTGCCATTCATTATTTCGGAGGAACAACATGGCTTCGTGAAAGGAAGGAATATAAGTGATTGTATTTCTATGGCTCAATTCATGGTGGATGAGTTAGATAGGAAAGTGGATGGAGGTAATGTTATTTTAAAGCTTGATATGATGAAGGTATTTGACAGATTGGAATGGGATTTTTTAAAGAAAACTCTATCTGCCTTTGGCTTTTCTGAGCTGTTTGTTTCAACCATTTCCAATTGTTTGCAAAATCAGCATGTAACTTAGGTTTTGAATGGACAAAGACATGGTTTTTTCAATACAACAAGGGGAGTGAGGCAAGGGGATCCACTATCACCAAGTTTGTTTATCTTAGCAGAGGAAGTTATGAGCAGGGGATTACGGGACATATATCAGAGGGGTCTTGTTAAGCATTTTCACACAGGGCGAGGTGCTGTAATGCTAAGTCATTTATTGTTTGCGGATGACACTTTAGTGTTCTTGAGAGGTGACAAGCATTCAATGGTGAATCTGCTTTTTTTATTTCAAATTATGAAGCAGCGTCAGGGCAGAAAGTGAATTTGTTGAAAAGCTCTATGATTTGTTCATCACATATATCTCATGCAAGGAGGGGAGTTTTGCATCGAGCAACTCAAATACCAATTCATAGCTGCCCTTTTACATACTTAGGCTGTCCAATCATTAAGGGGAGACCTAAGTTGATTTTTTTTGAAGACTTGTTGCAGAAGTTTCAATCAAGATTGGAGGGGTGGTATGCAAAGATGTTGTCCAATATGGGAAGGGTTGTATTGGTACAATCGATTCTTA